TGCTACACTCGACGCGATGATCGTCGATCTCACAAGGCGCCACACGTCTTCCCTGGCATTGTTTGCGCACCTGTGGTTTTCCTAATTAATGCTTCCCACCAAGTTTCGGCACGTCTCTCTCTCTCTCTCTCTCTCTCTCTCTCTCTCTCTCTCTCTCTCTCTCTCTCTCTCTCGCATGCCACAAGTGTCGCGGCATTCTGCAGTTGTGCCTTCGTTCTGCTTTGTTGTTTTATAGACTGACTTTGCGATGTACGCACGTGCAGTACTTCAAATAGTTGACACTGCGTTTACTTTCGATATCTGCTGTTTGTTGGGAATCCTTTCCTCGTACTTGCCATTAAATAATCCAAGTGAATATAAGTTGGGTTTTCAGACTGTTTATGACGGAAATCATCAAATTATTTTAAGCGATCTAATTTATCGTTGCAAACAAGTTTCATGGCCGTGAAACTGGTTGAAATTCATTTTCAATGACGAACAAAGAGGAACGTACAATTCTTTAAATGCCATAAACTTTGCGACATCCAATCTTGTACAGTGTAAAACAAGTCGAGCAATCAATCGACGATGAAAAAATCTGACGTCTATAGGATTCCAATCAGTTCACAAAACTTTTGTAATAGTATTGAAAAGTTCGCAATCAAAAACTATTTGTTTATAAAAATGATATTCGTGTAAACAAGCGAAACGTAATAAAAAGAAAGAGAAAGAGGGTGAAAGAGAGAGAGAGAGAGAGAGAGAGAGAGAGAGAGAGAGAGAGAGAGACAGCGAGAGAGCTGAGAGATAGCGCGTAACGACATACATAAAATCAAGTTAGTCGAGCTCGCGCCCTCGAACCGTTTGACAGTGGGCCGCGTGACAAATGAACCAGGCAGCCTCCTCTATGGTCAATCTCGCGTAACGAGCTACACGCCCTCGCGCAACCCTGTGTGTGGGCGCGTGTGCGCGCGTGTGTATGTGTGAGTGCGCGATTCGTCGCCGACGGCACTCGAAAGCGAAAGATTGAAAACCGATGACCGCGACTAGGGTGTGGGGAGGGAACGGGGACTGGCCAATGAAATTTTCGGGCCAATCTTTCGCGTGATTTCATTCTCTGAATGACTTCGAATCAGGTTGGCACGTTCACGCACCGGGAAAGGAATTTAGTATTTATTAAAAGTGGGGGATCGAGGAGGCACTGCTATTTCAACCAATCGCCGATACTCGTATAATTTTTTTTCAACAAAAAGTCATATCAATTTCGCTGCGTTCGAAAAGACTTGACGGTTATTGTATAAAATATGATTTTTTTATAAGATTTCTTGGCGTCGCAAAACCAATCATGAAATTTTAATGATTCGTGAAATTTAATATTTGAACAGCTTTCAATTGGGTAGTCAAATGATTTGCTACCACAGGAAATCTGTGGAATTTCAATGAAATCATAATTCGTCGTGGTCGCATAATGCGAGGAGACGTGCATGTAGGAGGCGAGAATCGCGAGTTAAAAATAGCCGCGTGAACTGCGTTAAAAATAGTGGTAGCGCCGAGACGAGAGATATCACAATGAAAAAGTATGAGGCATGTGTCCTCATCTCTCAAGAAAATCGTATAGGTAGAAAAGGAAGGAACGACGAGTCACATAATAGTAAAAGCTCTACTTTCTCTTAGACGTTTTATTGCCAAAGTAAAGAAGCGACAAGGTTATTTATCTGTCGTCCGCATGGGCATTTATTTACTTTCATCTTTCGCATTCGCGTTTTCTGCCCTTACGCATATATCCGCCCGCCTCGTCATTTCACTTTGCAAAATACAATACTTCCACTACGAATAATCCCTTCCTGCTACAAATGTCTCATTCCATCTTTTGAGCTACCTCCCGCCCCTTTTTTTTTTGCAAAAATTGCTCAAACGAGCGTTTATGAATAATTAAGAGAGTATAGGGCTTGAGGAAATCGGATTATCCTTCACTGTGAATTTTCACGAAAGAGAGTCGAGACTTAACTCATCAGGGTCTTTTTACTCTCGCTTTCTCTCTCTCGGCGCAAGCTCCTTACATTTCGTCCGCACGCCTCATCCGCGCCACTCTCAAAGATAAAAGACGTGGTGCGTGTTAAAGGGGTAAAGCGCGTGTCCTCTTAGAATGTGCACGAGACAGAGAAATTAATCTTTCACTCTGGGTTCAAAAGGGCGAAACGCGTCCGCGCTCTCTTACTCTCTGCGACGTTGGATAAAGTTGATGAAGAGATGCGGAAAATTGCCGCCTCTGGCGGAAAATGGGAAAAAAACGGAACGGAGCATTTGCTCCAGTAAAATTATCAAGAGTGACGGAGAAAATGACGATACGAAGACAACAAAGAAAAATGAGTAGGTTTGCATAGAACGAAAGGGCGAACAGGTTCTTCCGAATAAACAGTGTTATGTCAAATAATGAAAAATAAATTTTTAATTATTGTGGTATCACGAAAAGTAACAATTCATTTCATTTTTGTACAGCGTTTGCGCGTGTTGTTATTCGTTTTGTTTGAATATGCTGAAGCAATCATACGAAGTTAAAGAGGTTGCGTACATTGAAATTAGAAAAAATAGCAATATTGATAAGGCTGCCAAGTTGTAGACATGAAATTTTTAATAAAAGTTTTCAACCCCGAAAGTCGAGTTCCTCGTACGCAATATACAGTGGCGAGTGTAATTAACTATTGACATGGAGAAGAAGTTTGGAGCGTTTGTCCATTAGTGTGCCATTTTCATTAAAAAAATTATTATCTATGTATACGGAACTACTTAAAAAATCGCTGATGATAAGTTAACAAAAATATATTATACTGCATAAATATTATATAAAAGTGAACGTACAATAGAATGTATTTGAGAACATTGATCGATTTCGCAAAAAAGCTGCAATTCTATTGCCAGCGAAGCAATGAGATACTGGGCAATCGACAAGAGATGACAATTTGTGGATGGACCATCGTGGCATTCGCAATGAAATAAGGTGAGAAAGGACGCTTGCAATCGAAGCGCAAGGCTGGAGCGCACTGCCGAAAAGCTTCAGTCGCGCACAGGGAGCAACCCTCTCTCTGTATTCATCTATCTGACTATAGTCGGTGAGTGTACACATCCTCTGGCATAAAGCATAACAGAGAGCGAGCGAGAGAGAGAGAGAGAGAGCGAGAGAGAGAGCGAGAGAGAGAGAGAGCAATTGAGCGCAGACTCGTCCCGCCTCCCAGCCGGTTGTGCGTGCGGCGTTGGCGGGGGTAAGCTGGCAGGCAGGCAGCGGCAGCAGCAGCGTAGTAGCAGCAGCAGGCGAGCTGGTCGTTCGGCTGGCTCACGCTTGGCGCGCGCGCCAGTTGTGTCAAGCTAGGCGATCGAGTAGGACGCTCTTCTCAGCGCCGTTCCACCTCTCAATATTCACCGCTCTTCTCGCCTCCTCGATTCAACCAACCGCCCCCTTTCCTTCTCTCTATCCTCTCTTATCTGTCTCTCGTTCTACGCCATCTCTCACATTTATCTCTTACTCTCGCTACTCGCTGTCCTGTCACCTGCATCTGTTCCTCCAACTCACTCTCTCTCTCTCTCTCTTACACTCACACGCACACACTATTCGCCTTCCAACCACCGCCGAGTGCTTCGTGCCGCAACGACGAACGGACAATCTAGTCGCAAGTGATTTCAGTCCCGAGGCCGGATAAGCAAAGCGAGAAAGAGACGGGGAGAAAGAGAGGGAGAGAGAGAAAGAGAGAGAGAGAGAGAGCGTGCGCGCGTCTTAGCAGACACCCTGGACGCAAGGCAGCCAAACGGACTAGCACCGCACCAGCAGCAGTACGCAAGCACCACTACACCTGAGAGAGCCCGACGCAACTCGTCCTCCATCTACCTTGCACTCGATCGATCTCTCTAGCTCACTCTCTACTCACTCAAAACAGCCAGCTTGCCAATCACTATCTCTCCCTTTGCCCACTTTTTACAAGCTTGGCGGCTGCGATCGATGTATAAACAAGTCCAGTCCCTAGATTTTAAGACGGCCAGCGGCAACACTCAAGAGGATCTCGATTAAACGTGTCTGAACAGTCTATGAAGTTGCCGTCGAACAGGGAGAGAGATGACAAGCAGGCAGATGTCGTAGGATACATAAAAATAAGAAAATAATTATATAGATTATAAAGCAATCCACGTCGCCGAGGCGAGAGAAACGCGTCAAGACAATCAAGTCTAGTTGTAGAAGTGGGTCGAGCCGAAGTATCGAAGGAAGAGTCGCCGACAGGAGTAACAGGAAAATAAGAGAAAGAGGAGTCTGTCGATAAGGGCTAATAGAGACTACGGAAGACCCCGACAATCATAATCATAGGCGAGAATACAATCGACTTAACAGAACCTTTTGTGATCCACGCCTCTACATATACATATTTACCCACGTGTCGTTAACGTATACAATCGCAATCATCAATATACTCCAAATCTAAACTTGTATATCGCTATATAAATAGGACACTTATACAACGGAAAGAAAATATACTCTCTATATCAATATACAGAACGCACGCGAACGATTCCTAGACAAGTACATATATCGAATGCATATCCAGCACAATCAGCGAAAGTGAGTGACAATCATCGTGTAGTCAAAGAGAACGAACGAGCAAGGAAGGCTAGCTTGTCTATATATAGCCGCACGCGTCGACTCCCACTGCCGAGCTGTGAGCACACGATGCAGCAGCGGCAGCAACCCGTTGACCTACGTCGTTTCAATTAACCGGCTCTGCGGGCGCGAGAAGGCGGCAGCGAACCTGCGAGTGGCGGGATCGCGAATGAAGGTCCAAGACTGAGCGAGCCAGCGAGCAAGCGAGTGTCGTCGGCTGGGAGAGCGTGCGAGGAAGCTGCAAGCGGCAGGTGCGCGTCCTTGGTCTTGGGCTCTCTCTCCCTCTTCCTCTCTCTCTCTCTCTCTCTCTCTCTCTCTCTCTCTCTCTCTCTCTCTCTCTCTCTCTCTCTCTCTCTCTCTCTCTCTGGTATAAGCGAGTGCGCGCGCCGCGGTCAAGCTGTGGTGGTCGGGCGAGCCACTGTACGGAGGCGGCGTGCGCTTCCATCACTCGGAAAAGGTGAAGCTGCTGGCGCTGGGTAGCAGCAGCGTCGCGGGCGACTGCCACTCGGGCTCGCCTCTGTCCTCGTTGTCGGCGGCCGTCGTCGCGGGCGGCAGGCACCACACCAGCTCCACCACGACTGCGGCCGCGGCGGCAGCTCTGCTGGCAGCCGCCACCACGTATTTTCACTCGTACTCGTTCGTGCCGGCCGGCGGTGCGGGCGCGCCGGTGCCTCCGGCTGCGGCCTTCGCCCACCAACACCACCACCACCAAGCTCACCAGCAGCAGCAGCAGCACCATCACCACCACCACCAGCAGCAGCACCCAGCTACCGCCGCTCATCAGCATCACCAGCATCACCACCAGCAGCACGCCTGCACCATAGCCTGCGCCAGCTGCGCCGTGTGCAACTGCAACGCGGCCGCCGCCGCCGCCGCCGCCGCCGCCGTCAACCAGCAGACCCACCAGATCCAACAGCAGCTTGCCTACGCGGCCGCCGCCGCCGCCGCCACCGGCTCCACTCACCACCACCAGCAGCAGCAACACGCTCATCATCACCGCCCGACCGCCGCGCTCGCCGCCGCCTCCGCCGCAACCACGGCCACCGTGCTGCTGCAGCCGCTCGACCGCGTCAAGGACACCATGGTGAGAGGCTCTTTTTCATTCGACTCCCTCCCCCCTCCCGCTATTCGGCGCCAGCTCCATCGCGGAACCGAACGTCCGCTTTCGGCGACACTTCGTCCCGCATTGTCGTTCGTCTCAGTCTTATCGGATCGGCTAGCTTGTGACGGACGCGTCAGCCGCTCGCACAAGAACTCGCTCGCGCGAATAAAGCTATAAAAAGGAACTCTCGACGAATGGGCATGTCGCACGATCGAATGATATTTCATTATTCCGCGAAAGTAAGCGTGTTCCGAGATAGATTGCCATTCGCAACAGAAGATGAGAGAAGCATAACGTAGGGCAAGGCACGGAAGGTGGGCTGTCTAGCCGTAATCTTGGCGTAGCGAGCGCTAATGAAAAACGTCTTAGCGCGCGCGCTACGTAAGCAGATCGCTGCGGGCGGAGTAACGAATGACTTGGGGGCGCGCGTGACCGTGCAAACGGAAGGAGCGCGAAACCCGCAATGTATTTGACTCCGTGAAGCTACCCCTCGTGTGCATCGTGCGTCGTGTCGTCGTCACCTGCTAATCGCCAGTACGGCTTTTTTGCTTTCTCGCCAGCCAGCCAGCTCTGTGCATATTCATTAGTGCGCGATATTTAATTACCGTGTACATCGATCCGTATACACGAGTTAAGCAACGAAGGGTTATTCTAGCCTTGACCCCTAGGTCTAGTCGCTGTGTTTACTCAAAATTACTCATTCTGAATTTATTCTTGCTGTTTTTACGCTTAGTAGCCATCCGCATTTTTAGTTACCTACGGCTTCGGTTTAGTTAGGTTCGGGTCTCAAAACTGTTTTTACGGAAAGATAAACCACGCTGAAATTTACAAATACCGCTTCATTAAATAATCTGGTTGGGACGTGTGTCGACTCTTATTGAATTTTTTTTTCAACGCGAATCGTTGAATTCTTCATTTTGCCAAAACTTTCATGAATGCTCGTACGGTTACATACGCACACATACACTGTATACGTATATGTTGCCGTTTTCGATGCAGATAAACACATAAATGCTCGTATAAATTCATGAAATGCCGCGCGTACGCATCGCGCGACGAATATGAAAAAAAAAAGAGAGAACTGCATTTTAACATCAATACTTGGATGCGCGAACAGATAAGCCAGTAAAAGATATTGGTAGCGATAGCAACAGAAACATTTGTCAAAGCGATATGTATAGAAACGTTTTACCCGTGACGAGAGCCTTTGCAAGTGTTCGAATAGGCGTGTTTCTTCTAAAAACATACGCGACAAGGCTCCTATAAAACAATTGACGTTGCCCCCCCCCCCTCCTTCCTTCTCTCAGGGAAATTAGCATATAGATTATTTTTTGATGAAGAGCGCTAGATAAGTGCCACATTTAATTACCATTCGACTCCCCTTCATTTCTCAGACGATCTCCACCCTCTTTGCGCAAAAAGGTTACCGCACACGCCCATGCATATTCTCTTCAATGATCTGGCGATTAGAAAGAGAGAAAGAGAGAGAGAGGGCGCGACAAAAAAAAAACAAAGAATTCCAAGCCGAGGGCATAAGTCAACGAGCTTCGAGCATATATCTTGTCAGAAGGTGAACGCCGGAGCAGCAGTAGCAGCAGCAGCCGCGACCCTTCATTTCCGGAAAGTCGCCTGCTTCAAAATCGCTCCCTCTTGTCCCATTTCCATCGCAATCTTCTCCATCGAACTTTCTCTTTTTCTTCATGGGCCACGCGCATTATCGTTTTATCTGCTAAACAACTGTACTCCCTGTAGATGCCGACTTTGCTGTCGTTGTTTCACCTTACCTCAAGTGCAATTTCGGAGAGGCGAGCGGATCGCCTGTTGTATTTCATCTGATTTTTTCTGATGTCACCCGGAAAGCAGAAATAGAATCCCCACGCCCTGTCGGCTCCAACTTCAATACTGATTTTCTAAATGAATTTATTGGTGCCTCGTAACTATTTCAAAGTATTGCAGCTACACCCGTAATATCAATCAAGCGATCAAATAAACTAAGTTTCAATTGACTGGTTTCTGCCATGAATTATTGATATAAAAATAAACCCGCTCTAACGAATCTATTTTAATAATTACAGTCGCATATGACTCTCGTCATTTAAACTAAGAATCTACAAAGCGTTATTTACAACGAGTTAATGATTCGATACATTTCCGATGCATTTCGATGAATAATACTAGTGATTTGAAGCTCCATTTATCACGACATTGGAAAAATTTAGTCCTTTTATTATGTAATTCTCAAGGGTTTCGTCGCTGTGTGCGCTTTTCGTACGCACCGAACTGCAAATGAAATTTCGGAGCGAATTCAAATCATTCCCGAAGAAAGTAAAATGAAACAGATAGTATTTTTCATAAGACTTGCGCAGCCATGGTCACTTAGACGCGCAACGTCGAAATGAAAATGGACATAAATTAGGAGAATTCGTGGAATTGCGGTACTGACGCCACTCGCTCACTCAACTTGTAAGCGTTTCGCCGGTACACGAACACGCTGCACGCGCAGCCAGCGTGCGGTATCAGCCAGCGACCCGAATAAGAGAGGAGAAAAGTGACGGGTGTGGAATGGGAATGACATGATGGTATAAGGCCATCAGAGAGCCCTTGGTAATTTAGTTATTTCATTTGCGTTTTCAAGGTATTACTCTTCTGCACAAATCTGGCTATAAATTGACTGATGACGTTTAAAGTCACTCACCAGCAAAGGTACATGACCTAGCACGATGCCATCTTAATTTACTTGCGCTTTTCACAAATTTTTAATACTGCGGTAATGAATAAAGAGCTACAGTAGCGAAAAAAAGATTATGAAGAAATATGAGGAAAACGGAAACGTATAGAGACAGTTCATTTGCAGTTAGGGGGAAAAAGAGTTAGAACTGTCACAGGCAGTGGGAGCGCGCGAGCGGAGGAAAAAATGATCGGGGAAGGGCGATGGTGGGCTGCAAGTATAAAGGCAAAAGGAAAAAATGAAAAGCGACACGGTAGAAAAAGAAGGTAACGTGGTGATACAGCTATACGCGGCCGGCGCGTGGCTCAGAATTTTTAATTTAGAAAAAGTTTTGCGCGTGGAAAAACGATAACGATAGGTGCAGAGCAGTAATTTAATAGCGAGTATATATGAGAGTGAACGCGTGAAGAACGAGCAAACGGCTACTTCTATTATTCTGTCTATTCTTAGCACTGATTATTACCTAACCCACTCTCATTACCTTGATTTCACTATACGAGCGAGTTTAGGCAAGCGTTGTTAACCAGTTTCCTCCTTTTTTTCCTCGATAATTCGATTCCCTGAGGCATGTCTGACCGAATCCGACTCGTACCACTTGGACGGACTAGAGATGAACTTGGACGAAGCAGGCGCATCACCGAAATGTTCTAAGTGAATTGCGCCGAAAAGTTTTCCCTGGCGCGTGCTGTAAAATAGTCATTCATTGTCGGGAAAAAGTTGGGCGCAGCTGAAAACCCGTAAATTTTACGAGACATTTGACCGTCTCATAAAGCAAGAACTAGCGCGGTATATACGGTAGAGCGTCGAAAAGGACGAAAAATAGTGGGGGTAGAAGAGGAGAAAGAGAAAACGAGAAAGTAAAGGAGAGAGGGGAAGTACGTCAGACGTTGCTGCTGCCGTTGTACTGGTTTGGGGATGATCGCGTGGCTGTGTTTCGGTGGGAATTAGTGGGGTCGGCTCCGCATTAGTCCCTCCTCTGCTCGCCCTCGGTAATACTCGGGAGAGTTGCACTCGCGTGTGCACCTACTACCCTTAAGCGCGCTCGCGCACGCACGCACACACACACGCACACGCGCGCGCGCGCGCAAACGCAGACATAGCGCCAGCTCTTTCTCCTCAGACGTCCTCGAATATATCCGCTGCTACTACTAGATGCGATACATCGTCGCGTCACGAATTGTTCTCAGAATCCAGACGCTTGCTTGCTCTCTCACATGCTTCAACCCGCAAGGCTTCTCGCGCTTTCTTGCTCCGCTCTGCTCTGCTCTGATGATTAGGAAATAACTGAATTGCCTTTGTCAAACGCATTTGTCAGCGAGGCATTCTATTCAATTTAAGTTGTAAGTATTTCTGGTTTCGGTTAAGCTTTGTTTTACATATGAACCACTTTAGTTACCACAGAGATGGCTTTCTGTCAAGTCTTTTGACATCTCCTTCAGAACTTATTTTCTTTCATTGAAGTACAAAAAACAATGATTGCTAGTAGAATTATAATAGTCGATAGAGGATCTTGCCGTATTAAAATTAACCGCGCAAGGCACGTTCGTATACTCTCTCATTACTTGAATGCCAATTGATCGCTTTGTCGTGTAAAAACTATAAATTTCAAGAGTAAAAGTAACAAAGCCCCTTCGGCAGGTTGTTGAAGAGAAATTATGATGAGGAATCGTACAAAACTCGATTAATGCAAATGAAATCTCGCAGGCCGAGGAAGATGCAAAACGCGATAATCCTCTCAGCCGCGATTCGAGCAAAGTTAGAGGAAACGGTCGCGCACGGGCCAAACACAACGCAGCAGAGAGACAAAAGGAGGCCACTTCATCTCCGGAGAAAGCACGTGTAAGGCTCTTTGGTTTTGGGCGACATGTTTTCAGTCTGTGCGCAACTCAAATCGCTTCAGAGGCTTCAGGCGCACGAGCTTGCGATCCTGTACAGCCAGTGTGAAGCGATACGGAGTACGCGCCGCGAGTCTGGTGCGACGTCCACGTAATTACTCGGACAAATAGACCAGGCCAATTCCAAATCGTCTCAAAGGCTTTGACTTTTTGGCTATGCGACTTTGTAAGGTTACCCTGCCCATCTCGGCTTTGCTGCACTTGGGGGATGCTTGTTTTAATTGGCTTGGGATATTGGATCCGCTTACGTATAGTTAGATGGAATCAAAATTGCTGAAAGGCTTAATTTTTTTTTCGAGATTCGAAAGTTCGATTCGTTGACTTGAAGCGAAGTCATCATTTTATATTTCTCAAAAACA